GGTCTAATATCGGAAAGTAACTTTAGCCCTCATGGGCTAAATGTTGGAAATTATGTCTTTTCCGTAAAATATATAAACTGAGTTTTTCTTGGCAATTGCATGTTTGAACGCTTGAAACCAGTCAAGAATGCTTTCCTCCATTGTCGAAAATTTTATTCCCTTATCAACTTCTTTTGTTGGTTTTTGAATTTAAATTGGCGTTAGAGCTTTGGTTCAACAGTGTAGGGTGTCAAAGCAAGTACAGTAAATGTGCTGAATTTCAGCGTTTGGTCCCCAAGTCTTGGTCCAAAAGAAAGTTCAGCGGACTAAAACATCATTCACGTCCACAATTAGTACACAAATTTAGCCTTACAACACAACGAAATCTTATTTCATTAGGTTTTGTTATTTTCTTCCCTGAGCAAACTTTTCGTGGCCACGTGGGCAGGACGTGAATTAGTCCTCTTGTTTTTATGCGAATTCTCACTACGCATTAAATAGTCCTCTGCCTTCAACGTTTGGGGACCACCAGAAAATATCCCCTAATTATGAAGTGTCAAAGCGTTGCTGCAATCTTGTGGCATTTTTAATTTATATAAATTTAAAAGTTTGTCTCCTTTTGTTAATCATAACGTTGATTTCCCAATCTTGGTTTGTACGAAGGACATAATTCGCCCTAATTAAACCAACTTCTCTTTTTGTTCCGATTCTGGATAATGCCGCCAGTTCCACCAACTTCTGCACGCTGATCGCAGCTTGTTCTCAAGAATCTGCAAATCTAAGCTTCCTCAAAGTAAAAAATAAAATTCCGCATTTCGCTTTAGGAGCGTGTCGGGTGCCTGGGAGTCACAGCTAATTAAAGCGATTCCCACATGTGTTTTAAGTGTTGCACCTCGCACAAAGAAAAGTTAATTTGGTTTCACATAAAGTCGAATCTGATTAGCTCTAATTAAATTGAAGACTACTTTAAAGGAGGGATTATAAATCCGCCTCGATCCCCACCATTCATCCCTTCGGTCCATTACACGGTGCATTGTTTTGCTCTCTTGCCACAGCAAATTGAATAATTTCAATTAAATATTGTTGGGACCAAATAATTTTATTTTCTATCAATCATTTGGTAGCTGTTAAAGAAAATAAGGCAACAGGACAATAGTTTACTTCAATCTTTGCGCACCTAGGCTTTTGGCTGTTTTTCTCTATTTCAAACATTAATTTTATTGCTCTGCGAACAATTTTATTATTCTAATATTTTCTTTTATTAGTATCCAAGTGCCGAAAAGTTCCAGTCCATGTTTTATCTTTCCTTTTCCATAATCGAACTGTTTCTTTGTGTCCTTGTTAATGCAATTTATTTAATTAAGCACACTAGTTACGCGGATGTTTTGTTCGCATCGGCTGCAAACCTTGTTTGTTACTTAGTAGATGCTGCTTCAGCCTATTTCAGCAGTAGTGTCTCCCTCTCTGCTTTCAATAAGGAACGGAAGGATTGTATGACATCCGCATAGTCTCTTTAGTGGCTTTCGCATCAAGTTACAGGGAGGCTTGTTAAGGTTAAAATCAGGGTTGATCCTACCCGTGCCATTTCGATGAAACCGAGTGGTTTAAGCACATATATTCTGCATCTAGGGGACTGTGACATTTCTGCTTGTCCCGTACCAAGGGTTGGAAGTTGTTTTACTGACGAATTAGGTTTACTAAAACGTTACTCATGCAGTCACCCACTGTAACCTAAAATCTCTCCTAATCCACTATTTTTGTTAGAGCTAAAACTAGCTTTTCCTTGAAACTTGAAATTTGTATCGCTAATGCCTTTCCCTCCTCCACTCCCCTTTCTACTGCCAAGAGAAAAGCCGTTATTAGTAAACCAAAACGAAAAATTTTTTGGTCATTTAAGATACATCCGAAAAGGAACATAACGAATCATCTTCTCTCGGTTCATATCCTCCTCTCTCCCTCTCAGCAGCAATATCGCTTATATCGGCAACCTGAGAGCAAAGAAAAAAAACAAAAAAAAAGAAATGTATAGAATTTAGTAAATCCCTCCGTCAACTTTCTTATGCCTGTCCTACCGACCAAACAAAAGGATTAGACTTACGGGTGTTGTAGTAACAAGCACCGCCGCAAGGCTTATCAGGGTCTAGACAAAACAAGGACGAAGTGGATTAAAGCCCACTCCGGAGACAAGGGGGTTTGGGAGGAGGGGGGAGGGAAGGGGGATAAAGTTGACACGTAAACTTACAACATGGAACAGCAATGCAGCAGTAGTTGCCACAATCACATCCACAGCAGTCATCACAGCAGTCGTCACAGCAGCAGTCATTGCAACAATCATCGCAGCAGTAGTTGGGTCCACAACCACAGCCACAACCTCCATGGCCGCATCCTCGTCTACCCATTTTGAAAGTATATCTTTCCCTTTTCCTTCTCCCCTTTTTGGTCTTTTCCTTATATGTGTGAACCTGGTGCTTTATATGCCCAGGGAAATGCGCAATTTTTAGTTTCAATCTCTTCATTTTATCACCGCCCTGAGGTGCACAAATTGCAAACCCCATTGTGGTGCCCTTTTGATTGGTTAGTGATTGATGAAATTGGATCTAATTAGTGGGAAATAAGGCAGGGAATTTTGTTTGGTCATGATTTTATTTCAATCATGACAATTTACTAGGTATTACTGAATGGAGGAAAAGGCGGGAGGTCCTTCGCCCTCTTTTCAATGCCAGTGGTCACGATGGGGACAAACTTCCAACCCTTTTACGTTCATCCACCAACTGATCCATCCACCTCGTATTCACCTCAGCAGATGCATGCATTCGTGTACCACTTCCGTCGTCACGTCTCCACCCTTTCATCACCAATTCATCCCTTCGTTCTTCCCCGAGCAACTGACTTATTATTTACCCATCAACGCAAATATGAGTCACTTAGGTGACCTTATTTATTCATTCCTCCCCTCAGTCGATTTTGCGTCGTTACAAAGTGGCGACTGTTCTCCCCACGACTGACTAAATCTGGTGCGCGGAAAGCAAATTGCTTTAATGGTTAGTTCTTGTAAAAAGCACCTCGACGCCTTAAAAGCCTAGTTGTCTTTTAACCTTAATGGGTTCGTAACCGCAGGAAAGTGAGACGCTGCGAGTCGGAAGCTCTTTAAGATGGTCAGCTGACCGGATTTCAAATAGTCTGTGAAATCTCCATGGCTTTGCTAATTTGAAAAGCTATATGGATTAATTATAGCTTGAGGCTATGATGGGGGGAAGGAGACTGGATGAGGAAGTGAAGTTTCCACACATCCAGTGATAGTAATCGAATGACTACTCTTTTTACAGTCACTGCTGTCTGTGAGGGAGAAAAAAACTGATTTGTGTCAGTAGCAGCAGACTATGTATACCCTCATCCACCTTACCAAAAAACCCTAATGTCTGCTGTTAATAAATGCTACATACGCTTGACCATTTTATTCTTCCATCAAGTCTGCCACCTACATAAATGACTTGTATTCCAACACTCACCAACATCTATATATTATTTTTAATCAAGCAACACGAAATAAACGAAATTCGACCAAAAGAAGGAAGTATTTCTACCTATCCACCCTAATTTTTCAGTTTAGACAAGGTCTAAATGCACCCAGCTAATAACCGGGTTACCTCTCCACCTACCCGACTTTCCATGCCTCCTCTGACCCATCCATTCCTCCAACCCACCAAAGCAGGATCATACCAACCTGAACCCCTGCCGATGTATTTTCTCCAGATAAAGAAGTACACAATTGAGAAATCGGCTAATATTCAGCTCCATACCTCCAAAAATCCGCTTCCCAATCACACAACTTGGATCCAGACGAAAAACTCAGATCCGACCATATTATTCATCCACGTGTCAATTTGCCACATCAAAAAGAGGAAGCTATGACAAAGAGAATCCACCTAAATCCGGAAACATACTATTACATGCTAAAATCTGCTCGAGTCTTAAAAATCCAAATAAACAAGAAAGCTCAACATACAAGCCAAAAAAATCTCACCAAAAAGGGAGTTGTCAATCACAGCTTTGGATACTCGGCGTTATGCATTCGCACCACCATCAAATGCATTGTAAATAAAACATGCGAATGATTCGCGAAAATTGGCAAGGAAATCCAGTCGTCTCACAATTATTTTTCAGCAATAAAAGCATAAATTCGGAATACCATAAATTGGTTTTTTATAATCACCCTCTTCTAACTCCTACTTTGTTAAAGTTTCTTCCACCTGTACGACAAAATATGTCGGTCAACTAACGTTCCAAGCAGAATCTGTGAAGAGTAAGCCCAACAGCACGCAACCACCATGCAGCCTCTCACATTTAAAGACGTCGACACTACCCCTCACTACCCAACAGATAATTTAAACAAATAACTTTAAATGACAATTTAAAATTGCAAAAGCAAAGATTGAAATTACGAATATTCTTTATCTTTCCTTTTTTACCTAATCTATAAGAAAATAATTAATTTTATTACTGTTAAATTATTTTTACGGACCATGAGTCACAAAATATTCACGTATTAAAACATGGGTTAATTTATTGCTTTTACCGCGCACATCATTTCGGTATAAAGTAAGTACTAATTGCTAGCATTGCCAATCATCGTCTGCAGTGCCGCCAAATTGAATGATCCCCTTTGTAATTTAGCTACTCGAGGTTCTTTACCAATCCTATATTTTATCTGATTCCTTTTTAGACTAGAATTCGTACGCATGAAATGCAAGAATTTGGCAAATCCAAGGTGAATAATGTAGTACTTTGTTCGTTAAACGATCACTATAAATGGCATTCGCATTTCTCTTGGCTCTGGGAACAAAATTCAGCCTCATGCCAAGGCTTAAGCGCTTCCTGTATTCTCTGATTATAGCCAATCAACCCTACTTGATGTCTTCGGCCTTCCAACCGGGATCGCGAGGCAATTACAGATTTGTTTCGCCTAAAGTTTTGGTAAATATCACACATTCCATGACCTTCATTTACGCAGACTAATGAGTCCGCATATATTTATATTTTAATAGCGTGAAAATTCGCCTAATTTTTGGCATCATATACGCTTTCTTCTTAATTAGCCTAGACCAATTTTAGAACTTCATGTGGATGGTAGCGCTCGTTGACTACTCACTCGGTGGTAAAATCATTAGGTTGGGCTGAACACATGTATTCTAGGGAGAGTAGATTGGATTGGGCTTGAACCAGCCCGAAGCTTATTTTACGCGTACAAAGGGAATGTCGAATACAAAAGCATCCACCAGACAATGTGTGGCCGGGGTTAAACTCGCTTTCATTTTGAGCCAAATGATGTAATATTATGTCTGGAAAGTGCTCTATAATTCGTCCTGCTCTTGTACACTTTGGATGGCCTTTGAGTCATTTCAAAGCTCAGCTCAGACCAACAAAATGCCATTTTCCTAGCAGGAAGTCTTTGAATCATACAAAGATGCGTATGCCCACTTGTTCAAGTTGAAATACATGTTTCTTTAAGATGGAATCACAGTTAAATCTTGTCTTCCTACTCAATAGAATTCTTGGATTTCTCAACATATATGAAACTACACTGCCGCTACAGACGTCCCCGAGAAAAAACTTGATATACTTAAAAATCTTTGTTCAAATGACCACCTGGTGCCAGGTGGTTACTGTAAGGTTCGTTTGGCTATTGCAATCGTGGACTAACCTTCGGGCTAAGCTCATGTCTAATTCCGACCTTGTCCCTAAATTGCATACAAACAGCTCCATTTAATGTCTTCACCCGGTGAAAAGTCTTGGGATGTTGCAATGTTCGCATAATCAGAATCGATCAAAAGCAACACTAAGGACTTTTACTTTCATGTAAACGTTAATCAGCTCCTTCTATGCTATGGAATCACTCGACCTACAACGGCTTAACGGGACTTGTGCTTGGGTCTCCTGTCAAGGGATTGTCAGCTTCCCGTCAATTTATCGATTTGGAAAAATATTAGCAGTAATGTTTATGCATTTACCAACAACGTTACTGTCCTTAAGACATTTTACTATCGGTGACGAGGTTTGCAAATAGCTCTATAAGAATGTGCAGTATGGCTTTGCAATCCAAGAACATTTGTAATTATTCGACAGTAGAGACTGTTGTCCTTAACATCGCATTTTAAATCGTTTGAGAGCAAACGAATTAATAAATATGGTCGGACACTAGAGGTGATCAAAGTCACGTTCTAGACATCAAGTTGTTGCGGGAATGCTCGATAAACACTTGTCCTCGTTTGTTTAAAATTATTAGCCTCCTTCGCTAAAAGTACAAAAAATACTAAACGCATTTCTACACGCAAAATTTAAAAGCTATTGACATCATGTTTTTGCTCAACATTGCTTCCATTTCTAAAATACAGCGCCTTATTTTTTTAATATTTCGAGGTGGCATCAACGACCTTGGCGTAAGTCACCTTGAGAGGCGCTTAGTTGTTGCCTTGGTTATGAGTGCTGTTGAAGATTCAAGGTCACCTCGAATTGGGTAGCAGCCTCTTTCAGGGCAGAACTTGTGATAGATTTAGGAGGGGATAAAAGTTCTCTTTGATCATCCAGAGTCGTCAACTTCGGGTTCTGTGGAAAAATTGTGGAAATGAAGGAGAAGAGGAAGTTTGTGGGGTTGTTGCATACAACTTGGAAATTTGGTTGCACTGGACGTCGATGCTAACCCCGCATGATAACATGATGTGTCTATGCATAAATTTGGTTCTAAATAAGTTGTTGTAGCTCTGGGCAATGTTCAAGTACTGCAGTCACCGTGGGGGCACAAAGGACCACCAGGGATTACGAAAGTTAGTTAGTTTTCATTGGCTGGTCTCGGATACTCTTTGAAGAAGTCAAAAGCAAAAGTAAAAGTCTCTCACATAAAATAGTTTTGGTCCATCACAAGACGTGACAAAATGTTGTTTTTGACCAAGTTCAGAAACAAGAAAACTGCGCAGCTTTTGCAGTTCATTTATGGTTAAAAAGTGGTAAAACAAAGGAAGAATCGGTGGAGAAGGATAGTTATTGTTACCTAGATGCGGAGTCGAGACCTTCTAAGACTCAGAGGATGAAGCGACAATCGACACACTGCACTGAGACTCTCTCGTTTATGCAACTTTAGCCACCCAGGCTAGTCATTTGGCCATAAATTTTGCAAAAATTCTAAAATCTAGCGGTTCTAACATATATTAAATATCCCCAACTTTATAATAGGATGACGAATTTCCCAAGTTGGAGTCTTCTAATTATTTATAGTCGACCGATGCACTCCGAAAGGAAACACGTTTGACAATACATTATTTTAACTCTTTGTTAAGTCCGATTTTTGCAGATCCAGAAATAAAAACGTCATGCAAATCAACT